TAGGGAAAGTTTAAAAAAAATTATGGGCTCAGTAGCTTGGAAAATAAGTCAGAATTTATTTGAGAGCAACACACTTGATAAATAAAAAACCCCAACACACACACACGCACCCCGTCAAAAAAACCAAACCAACCCAAAAACTACCCCACGAACCTTTTTGAACAGGCAAGTGAATTAAATTGTTCAGCTGCTATTTTATGATGCTCAGAAAATAGTTATGAGAATATTATTGTAGATGTTTTTCAAATTGAGCACTGCAGTTGAAAGCTGAAAACACCTTAATATTAGAAGAAGTGTCTTGAAGGTGCTTTTTATCCCAAACTAATAGGTTGCTAAAAATAGACTGGTGCAGGAGAACCAGGTTTCCCATCTCTTATTGTAGCAGCTGTGTTTGAAAAGGAGCTTGGGGGAATCAGATTAGCAGACCCTGCCAGTTTGCAGTGGGAGCTGATTGCCTGGTTCTTTCTGGAGGCTCTAAAATTCCTTGTTAGCATGTGCACTGGGCTGCTTGTGTACCATAGCAAAATAACACATCTCCCTAAATGTGTTCTTAATTTACTTTAAAAGTTGGGGGGTTTTTTTTGTAAAATGTATGGCATTCTGCCTCCCTTTCTCACTTATTTACCTTTTTTAACACTATGAAGATAGGATCTGCTTCTCAAGAGTTCAAATGGGAGAAATAAAGCAAGGGAATGGATGACATCAAGAACAATTTTGTTGCTTAAACAGTAGGACACTGGGGATCCTACCAGTATTTCCTGCTGGAAAAGCAGTTTGTAATTCCTTGTTGCAGCCCCTGAATCTCATCACCTGTAAATGCCCGTGGAGAGATGTACGACAGCGCAGACAGCATTGCTAGAAGCAGTATCAGTCATCTCTGTTAATGTACTTAGAAAAAGAGGACATGTTCATGCATTCAATGTGTAAATATGATGCTTGTGAAGATGGTTCTGGAATTAAATTTGCTAGAATAAGGTTTTTTTGGGGGGGTGAAATAGAGGGCTTTGGTATGCTCTTGGATAGTGCCGTTTAGTTCTGTTAGCCTGGCTAAATAGAGGCTACATGATATGAATGCTTACAGAGGAGTAGAGATGGTGATACATGAAAGAATATTAACATATTGTGACATTACAAAGCCATGGAAAACTTTATACCTGTATTTCAAACAGAGTAGCGAGACATAAAGCGAGATAGTTCCTGTGGTTAACATACTGATCTGCTGTCTACCATCATGTTTTTGTGTCAGTTTTACAGCTTAATAAACAAACGCTCATTTGTCTTAACATATAATAAATAAAAAAAAACCAGCATAAGTTAGTTGTGGAAATGATAGTAATTTATACTGATTTATCTTGATTTCTTTTGTTGGTTACAGTTTTATTAAACTAGAATTTTTTTAATTACTACTAAGTAAAATGTCTTGTTGAATGTTGATTTGATTAAGATAAAAGCGTAAACTGCTATTGCATTTCTAATAGAGCTGCCTGCATCACTGTCAGTAGACGTGATCATAGCAGTTGTGTGTAAGATCCCTTCTCTAAAGTACTTTTGAAATATTTTAGTGGAACTGTCTTACTGTGGTGTTAGTGTGTAAATAGATCATTTTGGAAGTACGACTGTCTGTTGCATTACCTGCTTCCTTCTTTATACTTGCAGATCTCACCTGATGCTTGGATTTCATGCATTTAAAAATCCATACTGGGAAGCTGTGTCAGTTGTACAGTTCTCTAAAGTGGATTTTTGGTTTCATGTTTGCCATGAACCTGTTTCTCAGTAACTGATGGCTCAGAGATTTTACGTAACTTTGACTGTTTCATTAGTGTACACCCATCTCTGATTGGCTTTTAAGCCTTATACTCTTACTGACTACCAGGCTCAATTTTTTATTTGCCACTGTGAATGAAGGTAGTCTGCCATCTGTCACTTCATTCAGATGAAATGGGAAAAATTTCTGTAAGGACATTAAAAAACCTGGGAAACAGATCTGTCATCCTATGAAAGGATTTCAGACAAAAGGCTCCTCTTTTCCTTTTATCGTCATGGTGCTTTGGGGAGAAGCATGCTGATAAAACTCATACTTTGAAGAAATCACAGCCATTCTTTATTGCTTTTTTGGGGACATTGTAATTAAAATTACTGAAGCATTCAAGGATGTTGCTTAACTTTTCTCCCTATATTATTAAGAGGACAGGGTGGAGGGGGGGAGCTAAAAAAAGCCTTTTGTTTTTAACTCATAGTTGGATTGGAAGGCTTTCTTTTTTCATGCCCTCTGTTATGAAATTTGACCTAAATATTCATATTTTAAAATAACATGAAAGTCTTCGTGTTAAAAGCAGTACAGTTCAGGGGTTATAGTATCAGATAAAGGTTACAGTCTGTTTCTCTTGCCAAGGTGTTTTGTCTTGATCTTTGCCTCTTCTGTGTGAACTTCGTCTCTTCCTCTTTGCAATAGAAATGCTATTATCTCATTTTAAAACATATGGTATAAAAGAAGCTTTGGTATTATAATATGATTTATGATTGGAGCCAACTGGATGCTTTGCTCTTGCTGTGGACTATTAAATTATTTTAGTTTTGTATTTCATTTTATAATCCATTGGCCCTTGGATTTTATTCAGTGTAATATTGAATTACTGCCACAAGCATAAAGCACTATTCTGTTATCATAATTATTTTGAGGAATCAGCAAATAACTTCTCTCCTGATGGCCTTTTTCTTTCCAAAGGAACCTGGCCAAGACCCAGAACAATAATTATATTGTTTAGTATAAGAACAGTATATAGTGTGGATCTTAAACTGTGTGCTTGCAGATAGTGTCCTTTATGTAAATGTTTAGCTCTTTATTGTATCATGTAATTCATATGATCCTGTTTTTGAAGAGCATTAATCCAACAACAGATTGTTGGATTAATCTAAGCCTATTAATACAGCTAACTGGTTTTTTTTCCCCATTGTATTTTCCCAGATGTTGACTTACTTTGCGGCATTTGAGGTATTCTTTGAAGAAAATCTGCCAAAGTTATTTGCTCACTTCAAAAAAAATAACTTAACACCAGACATCTATCTTATTGATTGGTAAGACGCCAAAAGCATAATTAATGTGCATACTCGCATAGAGCTCCATGTCAGTGTTCATTACAGAAGCAGGAACGCTCTTACCTGGTTTAGTATTCTTTTAAGATAAAGGCTTTATCTTTTGTTCAGTACTTGAGTTGTCAATCCAAATCATTCCCACATACTTCTGTGATGTTTAACGTTTGTCTAACCTTTATTACTGTACTTCTGTTGAGTTTGAGGCTTATTTTGAAATAGAGCTGTATAGCACTGTTTATCCGTATTTAGTGCATATTTGGATTGATCTTCTGAGAAAATCAGTTGTTTTTTCTACTTTAAGTGCAGGTGTGTACTGGGATGTATATCCTAAGAGTATTGCTAGTCTTGCATTTGAAAGTTATAGTTTGTCCTCTTGCACAGAACAGGAGAAGGGTAGTTAAAACATCTTGTTTCTGTCCACACAGCAAAAAGCTAGAAGCTACAGAAAAGCAAATGCGTAGGCTTTTGGCAGGATGAACTATGACTTTGGGGCAGTATCTCACTCATATGTTAGGTGGTCCCAGATGCTGTTTAGAGGATCCCGGTGCGGATTGTTTAAAAACTGATCTCAACACAGTCCAGTTGAATAGCTAAAGGGCATTAGCATGTTTTTAATTACTGCAGCTATTCCACTTAGCAGGCAGGCAATTACAATCTTTTTATTTGGTGAAACTGCCTTCCTTTTTTAGTTCTACTGTAATTAGAACCTTTTTCCTTAGAGAGGAAAAAAGACAAGGATCTTATTCACTCCTGCCAAAATTCAGTGTGGTATAAGGCACTCCAAATTGAGTATTTGCATTTGTGCCTATCATGCTTGGGTTTGGGGCAGCTAAAACGTCTCTTCTCAGTAAGACTTTGTTTCAGGTTGATATGAAATCTTTTTTGTGAAAAATTGATTTGCACTTAAATTGTTGACGGCTTCTCCTGTTCTTGAGTATCTGACTAAATACTTTCTGTAAAAGGTGGAATTCCCAGTAGTAACAGCTTTTTTTTTCTGAGATTCATAAGTGTCGTGGTTTAACCCAGCAGGCAGTTAAAACAACCACGCAGCTGTTCGCTCATAACATAAGTAGGGGAATGAGGAGCTGTGTCACGGATGGGCTCACTTCTCCCAACATTTGGGAGAACCAGTCAGAAGGATTTTTATGACTGAAGGCTGAGAGTATTAGACTGGATTAGATCTATGCACACAGCAGGAAGATGCTAGAAAAAATACTGGACTAGGATAGAAGGGAAGAAAGAGGGCAGAGGCTGGTATGTTCAATGATATAGGAAAGATGTTGAAATTACATTACCTCAGACAATGTTGTGAAAAGCCTGTGCATGGAGGAAGCAATGGAATAAAAGGGATATCAGAATAGGAAGACTGTAAACATGCTGGATAATAACTGGATAGACAGCATTGAAATCACCAGGTTATCATCTTTTTAATGGATTGCTAGTTTAATATGGTGCTGTCGTAAATAACGTTTTTTTTTATGTAGGAGAGACTAAAAACAAGTATCTTAATGGTGCAGCCATGTTAATATCACTCTGTTGTCTAACTTTGAGCTTTACATTGTAAAGAAGAAATCCTGAGGAACACCACCAGAAATTGCAGAACTAGAAAAAGACTGTTTTGATGAAAGGTTGAAGGTTTACATTCCCCTCAGCAATGTTGCTTGGATAGACTAATCTTTATTGTGTTTTCTTGAGTAAACATTTATGTGATCAGTTGTTGTTTATGAGCACATTCAGAGGTTAAAAAAAAAATAAAAAAAAATTACTGACTTAAGAGCAAAGAACTGAAGTGTTGAAGTCTGTGTGTGTGGGGAACATCAGACCTCCCTTTCGTTACTTCTGTGGGTGTTGTTAAGAGCACTTGAAAGCAACTTCTGTCAGGAGTGCTTGTGGATGGTGCTTCTCAAGGTCTTTGTACAAATGGACTGACAACCCTTAGCTTTTCTTGCTGACTACCTGCATCCATATTAAAGCTGTTTATTTGAATCCCAAGGACAGTTTACTGTGTTCCTCCCCATCCCCAGGGAGTCACAACACTATGATCTTGCACAGGCATGTAAACTATTGAGGCAGTCCTGTATTAAACTTTTTTCACACCTGTCTTCAGCTAGACAACGTGTCCCATTCTGTCTTGAATTTTGTTAGACAGTAGAGTGGATATTTAACTGTGTAAGGTTTAGGTATAATATTTAAATATATGTGTGTGTGCATACACATATATACTTTCTACTTTAAAATACTTTGATCTTGTAGGAAGCAGATTTAGATTTTTTTTTTAATTTTCTTTTTTTTTCAAACGGCCACTGGAAACTTAGCGAATTGGACTTTATATGTGCTGTCCTTCCATTACTTCCAGTAAGTAATATAGAAAAGATCTAAGGAAAAATCAGGTGGGTCTGTGTTCTCACAAGTGAGTAATTATGAAAGCTGAGGACTTTGGAAATTGTTGTTTATAAGGTTGCCTGTGGCTCGCAGCTGACAGTGAATTTGCTGTAGTACAGATACCACTCCATTAAAAACAGAACTGTTTCCGGAAAGATAAGAATATGGTTTCAGTGTGTTTAAAGTCAGGGAAGAATACGGTACAGTGTCGCTCTGAATAGACAGACCTTTTGGTTGTAGGTAAAAATCTCTATGAAACAACCTTGCTCTAACAACATTACTTTTATTTAAATGTGTGTTTGTTCTGAGCTCCAAAGGGATGCCTGCTGCTGTTCTGGTGGCTGGCATGGTTACTGTGCAGGCATGTGTGCCGTAAATCACAGTTAGTGCCAGCTCTGAGAGGGCTCCCATGGCCAGTGCTGCACAGACCAGTTGCTGGGAAACCCTCCTGCTCCTGCCGCAATTACGGTGGAATCAACTAGTCTCCTTTGTGCTGCTTCCTGTAACCAGTGCCGCAGGGAACGGCAGTAAAATTGGTATGCTTAAATCATTTGTTGAAGGGATGCGTTCCAAGAAAAAGAAATGCTGTGCATGTAGATATGGGCCCAGCTGCGCAGGTGATGCAATGCTGCTTTGGGTTTTCTTGGGGTTGGTAGAGGATTTAGCGAGGGGAGCCCCCCTGCCAGTTCAGTTCCACCACTGCTTTTTGTGATGGGAAAATGCTGAGGACTTAAGAATTTAATTAAAAGGTACAGTGGCACAATTATCAGTGGATACCTGCCAGAAGTAAGGCATGTCTTTTAAAGAGGACCTGTGTACTTCAAGCCCAAACTCCAACTGATAAATCTCATGGTAAGAATTCAAAAGCTAGACAAGTTTTTACTTTTTTTTGAAGAATATAAAGGGAATCAAGTGTGAGAGGGGTGTAAAGAGCAACGTACAGTCAGGTTCACAGAGAATAGAGTGGAAATAGTGTGTCTGAATAGCCTGGTTTTGGCCTCTTGGCTCTGTCAGCTGATGTACTGCAGGCTCTTGTGAGCAGAGCAGAATGTAGATTTGCAAAGGACACGTGCTGTCTATTTATGGCCTGCTGCTGCTGTACAAACACCTCTTTATCCCTACTTAGAAAAATGATTTTTGGCAATAATTATAGCCAGGGGCTTTGTTTGTACTCATGGATCGATCAGTGGTTCTTTAGTATTGCAGTGACTGTGATTGTGCTCTGCGAACACTGACTTTCTATTGACACCATTTGCTTGTTATGATAAAGATCCAATCCACTTTGTGTGTACGTTTGAAGTGGGCACTTTCAGTGAAGTATTTATAAGCTTGCTATCTGTTACATTAAGAAAAACATAGTCCATGTCATGCCGGTAACTCTCCACCACCCCAAAAAATGAAGCTCAAGGTGATGCTTTAAATGCATGCCTCCATTTCAAAGGAAAAATGGACTGTAATTCTGTCCAAAAGTTTCTGGTGACATCCTGCTTGTTGTAATTGGAGTTACAGACTCCAAAAGATGAGACTCTTCAGCTCAATTTACAGTGTGCTTATCCTTATGTCACTGCAGGTTGGGGTGGAATCAAGTGAACTACTGCATTGCCTTGTACTCTTTGGTGAGAGAGCAGGGCTTTTTGGGTGCTTCAGATTGGTTGGAAATTGCCCAGAAACTCACATATATATTTGTATTATATTGATACATTTTAGAATGCAGTCAGATTTGCTGAGTGCTAAGAAAGTGCTCTGTTGGAGTCAGTACTGTATAACACATAATACTTTTTCTTTCCCTTATAAGGAACAAAGTAAATGCTTCCACTTTTTTTTTAACTGTAATGATTTTAAAATTGTACTAGATAAACTGTTACCAACAAGCTTATTGCAATAACACTAAAAGGTGCTAATGAGAACAGAGATGCCACTATAAAGTAATGCATGAACACTTAGAAAGATGCGATCTTTGTCTCAAAGCAGATGTAGTTGAAATCGATATAAAATGTAACAGCTAAAAATTAATACCAGGACGAAGGAGGGAGGATCCAGGAATAAATTTACAAGGTGAATTAGTTCATCCATTTCTACAGCTGAAATCAGAAGTTCTAGAAATGTTTTTGTGCTGTTACAAACATGGGAAGAGAATGTGTAGTGCAAGAATATATGAGATCTGATTTGCGTCGACGTTGTTGTGCATGAGTTGAGTTGTCAATCCAAAATCTGACATACCTGTCTTCACTGCTGTTGCTAACGGTAGCTTATGAAGACTCTTTAATTAAAAAACAAAAGAGAAAAAAAAAAGAGAAAGGGGAAAAAAAAGAAGGAACAGAGGAAAGAAAACACAGAGCCTGTGATTATCATGGTAACAGTGCTTTCTTGATAATATTATGGTGATATGTTTTCCCTGTGAGTAGCAAACTAGCCAGGATTTCATGCATTTACCTGAAAATGCACTTTCGTCATGAGCAGGGCTGGGAGGAGCAGGAGCATCTGGTACTTTGTTGGCTTTTTTTCCCTTACTCAAACAGCAGCCAGTTGCCTGCATTTACATTACTCTGACACTGGACATCTCTGTGCTAGTTAACTGTGTCATCTGCACCTGGGACTTGTAGTGAGTTGGAAGAGAGCCGCAGACAGAAAATCATCCTGCAGCACAGCACGAGCAGATCATGTGCAAGTAGTGTGCTAGTGTTGCTGAGAGCCACTGCTGTAACTGTTTTAGTCTAGCAGCTGCTTTATTACTAGAATAAACTTCAGCTGGGTTTCAGACCAGTAGCTCAGATGTCTAATAAAAAACGTCTTTCAGTAGGAAATGTTTGAAGGGAACAAATGCTGTATCCATTCTTAGTAGTAATGTTTCCTACTGTTGTTTCATTGCTTATTCTAGAGGGCCCACTCTTTGTTCTTGGGGCTTGATGCATTGAATTCCATGCTAGTATTAATGAAAGTTAATTGCCTTGCGAATTTCTTGCAAATTGCACTTCCTTCCAAATTATGAAGATATCAATGTCAAGTACCTTATTTGATGTGACAGCTTTTTTGATGCGAGTAAATCTTTTCCTTCAAAAAGTCATGTTCTAATAAATAGTTCTGACTATTTCTTCTGACAGTTAATTTTTTGCATAGTTGCAGATTTAATACACATGGGTTATTCAGGTTAGGTCTGAATCATGACAGAGTAATAGCTTTTGTGAATAAAACCAGATCAAAAAAAATAGGCATTGTTACTTATCTTTAACCAGGACTAGTTTCTGGCTGAGTGTGTGCCTGCTACTTGGTGACCAGGAAAGGACTCAGTGGAATTGCTTCCTATTACACTGTTCATTTTAAATGGAAAAGCTGTTGCTGTTTCCTGTGCGTGTGTAGACAAAAAGTCTTAATTCTGCTGTGTAAGTATTTTGTAGCAAGACATTTTTCTATGGCATGTGACTGTACAAAAATGTTGAAAGAGTATATTAAGTCTGCAACGCATGATCAGCCAGTAACCCAAAGAAGGGGCTTGTATCGTGCTAGTCTCGTACGTTCATGTATGTATGTAAAATATGTAGATGAACAATAGCGGGTTTTTTTCATCCCAGACTCTACCTCTTACTGGCTTATTTTTGTAGTTCTAATTTAGCTTTTTGGAGAGCAGAATTTAAACGATGTCCACTTGTTATAAAAACATTGCAATGAGGTGTGAAAATAGAAAAAAAGTAAAGTCCTTAGGATCTTAAACCTGCAGTTTGTTTGTCACCTGAATTTGAGCAAATGGTTTAGTTTCATCTTGCAGCTTGTAAAATGAATGTATTTTCCCATTTTCCTAAAGTGCGCTGATTCATAGAGAAGCCAGATACTTGATGACAAATCATTCAAACAGTCTTATGTAGTAAAAAGCAGATACTGCAGAAAACCTTTGATTATTAGAATTTGCTGTGAAAATATATTAATTCATAATCAATACCTATATATGTGTGTGTGTGTATCTGTTCCATTGTATTTTTTTAATGTAAACCCAAATTTCCTAGATAAAAATTTGAAGTGAGGGAGTCTTAAACACAAAAGAACTACTGTTCGATTCAGCATACTTGAAAATTTGTGTTAAAAGATGTGGAAAGGATTTATTTAAATTTGAGGCTTTGCTGACCTCTGCCGGAGAAAGAATTCTTTGCACTTTTACGGAGATCTTTTATGCAGTGCATCTGTGGAGAAATGTTCTCTAAATTCTGAAGGAAAAAAAAATATCACTGTAACTCTTTTCCATTTTATACTATAACGTGGTTCCAGGAAGCTTAATTCTCTTCACGTGCTGTTACAGCGTTGTTAGCGGCAATGAAAACCGCTCTGCCTTGTAGCAAAGAGTTGGATAGAGGAGAGAGCATCTTCATGTTCCTGGCTGCAAGGCTGTTGGTGTTTTGATGAAGGAAGAAATACGCTCTTGGCAGTTAATGAAAATGCAGTTTTAGTAACTGGGAGGAGGTTCTTGCTTCTGCTGTTACCTTTACTCTTTTGGGGATCACATCCATTCAGGCACCCTGAGCCACCATCTTACACAGCTATCGCTGCATTCTCTCTGGATATCTTGCCTGTTTCTCTCAACTCAGTAGAGCTTAAACGGATCTTTCCTCCTAAACTCGTGCTATTATTACTTTGCCAGCTTATCAAGCCTGGAACACAGTGTTAATATTACACATCTCCTTCATCTTATCCATAATATTCCCTTTGTTGTACGTCTGAAGATTCTGCTTTTTGTGTTCTCGCAGCTAAAACTGTATCAATCCTCAGTTCTGAAGTGGTGATTAAATATGCCTTTGATTATACTAGTGGCCAGTGCATGTCTGTCATAAAACCATGTGTATTGTTTCTTCTGGTGCGATCTCAGAAAATTGACCCAGATTGATAGCAAGATGCCTTAACTGTTGTACAATTTTATGTTGTTTCATGTATTGCTATGCAGCAACTAATAGAAGTACTTTTGAAATGCAAAAAAGTATTCAGATACAAATATTTGAGAAGCCTCAAACTTAACTACTAATCAGTCCGTGTACTTCTGCGAGTATGCTAGACATTTTTCTTGTGCAGTAACTCTGAAAATTTTACTCTGTTTTTCAGGATATTCACATTGTACAGCAAATCTTTGCCACTAGACTTGGCATGTCGTGTCTGGGATGTGTTCTGCCGTGATGGAGAAGAGTTCTTATTCCGTACAGCCCTGGGAATATTAAAACTTTTTGAAGATATTTTGACCAAAATGGACTTCATTCATATAGCCCAGTTTTTAACTAAGCTGCCAGAGGACTTGCCTTCTGAAGAATTCTTCGTGTCTATTGCTGCCATTCAGATGCAAAGTAGAAACAAAAAGTGGGCTCAGGTAAAGAGGATGTTGATCTTTGATAACAGATGATTGCACTGTACTCATGAAAATGGGGTTTGCCAACATCTGGAAGAATGTTTTAGCAGAGCTAGTGTTCGATTTTACAGGTAGTAGGACTATGTAGCTCACTCCATGCTTTTAGTATACATTCAGATGAGTGGGTTCCCTGAGCTTGTTCTCCTCTGGAAGGGGAGAGCTCAGACAACATTCAAAATTGCAATGTTAGGTGGAGTCAATGAAGTAAAATATCATGACTTCAACTTACTCATTACAAAGGCTTCTAGCAGCATTACAACTTGATATTTAAAAGCAGAAATTCACTCTTTGGGAGAAGATGACAATTTTTCAGGACCTATCATCATCATCATACAATCATTGTCTTAATATCCTTGACAATCTAGTTTGCCTAATTTTGGGCTGTAAAGAAATGACTACATCTCTGACTTCTTTACTGGAATTGAGCACTGAAGCCTTTACTTCAAAAATTGTAGTCTCATCACTGTAGTTCTAACAAAATTCTTAAAAAAAAAAAAAGATGGAAGTGTGTCATCCGAATGTGGAAATTTTTAAGTGGCTTAACAGCCATCATGCTGGAGACTTAGGTCAAATGTACTCCATAACATTTGGAGTATAAACTCCAAATTTTTTTTCCCTTCAAAACAGTAATCCAGCCTGCTGCGTGAAGCATGCTGTAATAGAGCTCTGTCCAGTTAGTTTATCCATTCTTTTTTGCAGTGAAACTGAAAGATGTTGTTAAACATAGTGGTTATGGGAGTTTGTGTTTCTTTCCTGGAGTAATAGTCTGCCTGTAGATGTGGGGGGCTGCCAGCTTGCTGTTTGAGATAAGAATTTCTAACCTTTGCATAGGATTAGATTGTAGCCTTCTGAGCCTTAGCTTGTGTATAAAGGAGAGCACAACCTGCGCAGCCCGGCTAAGAGCAGCATACTGCCAGTGGTTCCTCCATCACATGGCTTTCTTCACAGCTTATTTTGCATATACGTTCTGGGCTTGGTCATAAATTGCTAGTACAGATCCAACTTTGTTTCTATCCTTAAGATGATTTTTCAGCCAGCAATGTCTCTAAAAGTAACCTCCCAGTCTTGTTCCTTGTTCAGACGGTTCACTTTCTTTGAGCACGTCTTGTGTGGATGAGGATCACATACCAAATCAGTTCTCAGCCTATTGCTGCTTCCTTTGCAGAGAAGGGGAGATAGTGGTCCTGTTCTGCTGAGTAACCCCAGTAATAGGCTTGCTGAGCCAGTGGTTTTCAGTCTTTGACACCTGTGAAGGTTTAGTGGTGATTATCACAACAGGAGGAAGACTTCAAAGTAAGCTAGCCCAAGCAGTCTTCCTCAGTCTCTTCATCAGCTTCATTTGGACTGCACTGGAATTTCCAGTTGTTTTTGCTTGTTGTGGAAAACTGAAGACAAAATGCTGCTGAACTGTGGTGCAGATAGATCTCAAAACAGTTTGCATGCTGTAGGATTGGTATTGGTTGACCTCTTACCTGTCTTGACTTCTGCACCAACTGGCTTTCTTTACCAGATAGTTACATTGCTGAGTAAGTTTCCATCAGGAAAGCCTCTTCACTCCCTAGCCTGCCATCCTTTTTCAAGCCAGAAGTGAGTAGGGCCTGTGAGTTTGCTCATATCATGTACTTACTGGGACTCCTCAGTCACTGAGGTACTGCTGTTGGAACCAACCTAGAAACATTAACAAGACAAAGATTGTATGGGATTACATTTTCTATTACTAAGATGCTACCTGTGATGACCTCTTACCTTTCTTCACGTTCTTAAAGTTCACCAGGATGAGTTTGAACTTGGAAACTTGAACTTTGCTGTTCTAGGACAGACAGGCTTTTGGTAGTGTGGGACTTCGTTGCATAGGTGGGACTTGTAGCAGTGCTGGGGCTGTGGCAGCACGCACCCACACAGCGTGCTTGAGAAGTCTGGCTGCAGTTAGGATGCTCCCGATCTGGATAATTATTTCTCACTGTTGTTGTAAGAGTCAGATGCTTTGGTGTAGTGTCCGTGTGTTTTCTGTGGGGAAATAACCTTTTCAAAGTAGCAAAATAAATGTCCATTGTGATGGATGCGCTACCTTTAAGATAAACTCTAGGTGGAGTGACTGACATGGGGCACTAGTTCCCAGAGGATGCAGACTGCTCTGGAGCTTAGAAAAACGGGGTTTGTGTTCCCACCTCTAGCATCATCTTGTTTGGTTACAGTAACTGTACTGTATAAGCGAGCAGCAGAGCTTGAGGTGATACTACTCTGTAGGAGTATATTTGGTCAAATTAAGCTGCACATCTGAACGGTGGGTGTATTTGGCACTCAAAAACACCTGCTGATGGAACCTTTCATCTTGCTGAACCATGATAATTAAGGTCCTGGTTTGCAGTGGGTCACGTTCTGGAGTGATGATGTGTGTAGGGCCTCATCTAAAATGTTACAGGCTGCCTCTGAATCTGGATTGCACAGTCCTGGTTCCCCTATCAGACAGATTGGTTTATGTTTCCATCTCACTCCATTTTCCTTTGGTCACTGACAGTGTGATCTAGAATCAAGACTGAAGGGAGTCCTGATAAATCACAGGCATCACACTTCTGATAACAAGAACTCTGGTTATCAATAGGAAACCTGCAAGCTCCATTTTTCTTCTGAAATTACCTACAAAGAACCCAAGGGCCTTGTACCATTACACCCTTAGCCTGAAATGTGAGTGGCTGTTCTTACGTGTTTTCATCAATAGCAGAGAAATAGAGACTATTGGCTTAGCATTTCTGTAATCCGTATGTTTCAAATCTTAGCTCCATAAAGTTTTCCAAATAACTAAAGAATCTGAGCTCTGTTAGTTGGCTTAATGTCTATTCTTTTTTTGATCAATATTTTGGTGTCATTCTCTGGTTCCTTAAAAAGGTTAACTATTTTCCACCAAGGACTTTGTTACTATGGTCTTGAAACTCTGACAAGCCCATTTGATTGAGTAGCTGTTGATTTACCCCAAATCTCTGTGAAGAGGACCTCACTGAAATCTCTCTCCAGTTCTAGAAATTGCTGAGCAGCCAGCCAGCTGGAGCTCTGTTCAGGCCCCTGTTGAACCTTTGCATTGAAGCATAGGCAGCGACTGTTATGAGTCATTTAGCCCCACCTCCTGGCAATTCTGATGGTGCAGAGGTCTGAAGTCGGTCAGAGGGAGAAAAGAAGGTTGCCTACCTATAAGTGTAATTCTTTGAGATGAAATGTCCCTCGGTACATTCAGTTCTGGGGTGATTTTTGGGGATGCTGCTGGACTTCTTTGGCAGAGACTAACTGTAGGGCAGGGAGTGCGGTAAGCAGCGTGAGAAACTGGCCACCATTGTGCCCTCTGCACAAAGGCTAACAAAACAAAATTGGCGTCAGATATTAGGAAAGAAAAAATTTCAATGTGGAACCAAACGCGGACTTCTTGCTTCAGAAAAAAATGTAAGCAGATCTGGAGACAGTGATGTGCTTTAGATGAGCGCCAGTCAGCACTAAGGTAATTCTGTCCTGAACTCATGGGTAATGTCACACTGCTCAGGCTGCTCACTTGCTGTGTTTTCAGACAGTCCATTTATCTTGAGAATTATAACTTCCTTTCTGACAGGGTCCTTTAATAGTGCTAGACTTGTGTAATCTGGGTAAAGATCTCATCTCTGGGCTTCAAAAGTGTGTGTTGGGGGGAGATTGAGTTTAAACCTTTGTTAAACCATTTGTATCCATGCCACAAGGACTTAGGGGAGAGGTCTCCATCAGTGGAGAGGTTCTCTAAATTTGATTACATATAATAGTTAAAATAGTATTGCTCAGAGATAATTAAATTGGAAATTCTTCAGACAATGATTTATTGAATGACTTTTTAAATCTAATACTTTTTCTCTCTCATTCCTTGCAATGTCTAGATACTGGCTGCTCTGCAGAAAGATAACCGGGAAATGGAAAAAGGAAGTCCTTCACTCAAACGTTAAAATTATGGTTGCCTCCAGTGACTCAAGGGAAAAGAGCTAAAGTGGCAAAAGTATTGAGTACTGTTTGACATGTATGAGCCTGCAAATTAAAGTGTTATTTCAGAGTTTTGTTTAGTAGTAGAATAGCCTTAAAGGGGGGAGAGGAAAAAAGAGGAGGGGAGAAAAAAAAAAAAAGGAAGGAAAGAAATCGGGGGATAAAACCCTTATAAGTGAAACCTAGGCTTTGCCTTAAACCTTTAGTGGAATGAGCATTTGCTGTGGACAGCGTTACACATTCTGTACTTCTGATGAGGGCAGTGAAACTAAACAATGCTAAGGGGGTTTTTTAAGGTGTTTTTTCTTTGATGTTTTAAAATACTGGGCGTTCAGCATTGTCAGTTAATTTGAAAACTATTCCCCAGTTTCATTCTTAGGCAGGATGTGTTTCCCATACCCATAACAGTAGCTGGATCTGGATTTTAAATAACTGGTGCTGGAATTTTTAGTTAAATGATGTAAGGACCATTTCTTTAGAAATGCTTCTTGTTTCATAGGCTGTGGGTCCCATTTACCAAAAAAATCATGTAGTCCTAGAATCACATTCCATTCTTTAATAAGGAAAAGTTAAGTAGGAAGTAAACTTCGAAGAGAAAAGTCACACTAGCAGTGAAAAACCAATTAGCCTTTAAGATGCCATTGGATGTTTCCAATCTGGATGCATATGGAAAAAGTTCTGTTGATCAGACTAGATTCCAAACTCACTGGGAGGTTTCTAGTATTAGGCTGGCATCATTTCCCAATTGTACTCTCCTGTGTTTAAAGCCAGGATCACCTACTACTAAATGTATGTTTCCATGTCTCCCTCTTCTGGGGCAGTGCCACTTCAGAGTGTCCTTGCCTGCCAGCTACTAATTCCTGTGCTGTCTCTCCAGCCATGCCGATCAAACTGTTGGGCTGAGCAGATAAATTGAGAAATGGTTAAAAGCAACTTCATAGTTACTTTAAACCCAGCTCTGCTCACTGGCAGATCTGAGGAGGAGTAGTGATGGGGAGAAATTACGTAAGCCAACATTGCTGCTGAAAAGAAAAGGTTCTGTGGGGTCTCCTGAAGCTGCTGCTGCCACAGTGAGAAAATGTTACGTGGAGCTGATCTGTGTGTAGTGACAAGTGAAAGAAGTTTATTGGGGAATGTGCCAGACAAATACTACGAGGATAAGTACAAGCTGTCATTTCCTAGCTTTTCATCCAGACTCTAATACATGGGAGCAAGTTACAAAGACGGCAAAGTGTGGTTGCCTAATTCTGTTACACAGCTTACATCCTCTCTGCGTTCAGATGAACGTTGAACTGTAAATCATGAGTGCCTCTGATTTACAAGAATGTTTATTGCGTAGTGTATAGTGTAAAATCTATAAAGTAATGACCATCATTGAAAAGGGAAACTAACTGAAGCAATACTTATGTTAACTGTAAACAGGCATTACTAAATCCTCTAGCTATATGGTCAGCGGTTTCCCAGTGCTCTCCAGTCTGTTTTATGCTGATTATTTTGGCATTGTCTGAATAAAAAAATGAGAATAATAGTTGCACACTGCTCAACTCAACATGTAATGAAAAGGACTGTGGAACATAATCAAAATACTGTCCTTTAGAACAAACATTGTTTCTGCAAGGGATAGGTTGCAATATTAAAAAGGGTGAGAGCAAGATTCCCTGGTAAGTGTGCACTCATCATCACTTTGGAAGACGTGTAATGCAAATGCAGCTTGCAAGTCTGATACCTCATCGGCCTCTTTTCCTGTCCTCTTTGTGTACCTGGCATAATGGATGTGGTTTTTTGTTGGCCACCCTAATTCCTTGATAAGACTTCTAGGTCATCACTTACTGAAAACAGACATCAAGATGTTGATAGGAAACACGCTTTAGTTCTCCCAGAAGTTGTATAGCTTTAGTCCTTCAATGACCGGTACTTGTATGCTACATTGCTTTGAAGTGCAATAGAAAGCCGGGAGGTCAGTAAGTGGTTTTTAATATGACTTTTTCTATTACTACAACAAATATGCCTTTCCGTGAAGGATATGAGAGGCCTCCCATCTGAAACATTTGCACTATGCTTTTAAATGGATTATTAAACGCATAGATGACTTTTCCTCAGTATACAGGTGGTACTGTAACTGGCTTTGTGGTTTAAGTCTTCATTGCAACTAGGTTTGTATTTCCTTTTGAACCAAGTCTACAGGTGTGGCTCATTTGTCTGGTTAAAATGTATTCTTTAGCTACTAGGTACCTTTGCAGCCATTGACAGCCTGTTCTCCCTTTCCTCTTTGCAATGAGATGTTGAATGTAACAGTGAAAACAGGCATAGTTGTGGGAAAAAGGCCTGCTGCAACACTTGTGCACTGTTTGTTACTTGCAAATGTAATTATTTTGTTCTTTGATTTGATGTTTCTGTTCTTAGAAGATGTATATATTTTCTAAATGATTTCTTTGTGTATATAAGGTATGTTCTTTAATGAAGAAAAGCAATGCAATAAGGAGCTTTGCACACTTTGTTTTCAAACAAAATACATTTGAAAAAAAAAATCACCTGCCTAAAGATGCAATTGTTTCAACTTCTCAGTAACTTGATTTGAAGATAATGCTTGAATTTTGATAAAAACAAAGATGAGTAGTAAGGGCATAGAATTATTTTCCACTGAGCTTTTTAAGTTTCTTGCAGCATACCAAATCTCTTAATTAGCTATTAAGGAAGATTTCTGTAATAAATTCAGGGATTGCATAAAAAAATGTTGACGATTTTATTGTTCAGGTGCTTGACAGTATCTGTAACAAGATGCATGAGATTTTCTTTCATTGAGCAAGTGTCCCCATCAAGTAAACTTTCTTTTCTTCATGGGTTTAAGGAAAAATGCAACTGCTGCAATACATCCGAAATCTGCAACTACCACTGAACATGCAGCAGATTAGAGAAACCAGAAAACTTCAACCAGGTTTGGAATTCTGTACAACCTGCACTTTATAATAAAGCCGTTTTGCAAATTCAATCAGCAATCAATCATTAACGTTATTTAATTTAGTAAAGAATTTCATTTGGAAAAAAAGGTACCTTGTAACAGCTTATTTTTGAATGTTTTAAAAACTAGAATGACACGTAGATAACTGTTGATACAACCCCTGTGCATCATGTTTAAATTGGTTTTGTGTAGTTATCAAGCTTTTGTTTAGGTATGTGTATCAAACTGGAATTTTTTTCAACTGTAAATACATGGTTTTGTTAAATAAAGTCATGTAAAGTTATCTTGATCACCTTTTGTCAGTGTAATTCAGAAATTAAAAATTCAAGTACCTGTTTCTTCACAGGCTTCTTTAGCAGTTTTTGTCCAAAATCAGGACTTTGGGACATTTAAGTATTGCAGGTGGAGGATTTTTTGGTAATGCTTTCCAAGTTCTTCTTTTAAAATACCTGTTATATTACCTTTGACATTTAGAAGATTTGATACTTAATTGTGCCCATGGTTTAATCCATTTCATGTGCCCTTCTCTGGACTAGGTCTGAGATCTGATAAATTTATTATGGAAAACAGATGTAAATACATCTTTGTGAGATGTGCGGAACTCAGAAATGCTTGAACATCTCATCCTTTCTCTGTTTTCAAAGAAGAAATCTTGGTTTATTGCAAGTTTCATAATCACAAGGCATTTCTGTGCTCAAGGCAGTAGTATTGTTTTAATTCTTATATAGGCATAACTTCAGAGGTTAAGGTGGAGAAGTTTCCTGTTGCTTGCTTACCTGAAAAGAGGTTAAAGCACCAAATAAAAGATAAATAAAAGCAGGGGAGAGAAGGCAGTACCTGTGCAACAAGACAGCGTGGGGAATGCGGTCAAAGACTCAGCTGCCATGGTTCTAGTTCTCTGGTAAACACATCTCTCACTTCCGTGTACTGAAGTATCTTACTGTTTGATTTGCTGGATTAGAACATAAAATCAGAATTGCTTTATATACGCCTGTACCAATTTGATACTGACAGAGCTTTATATTTTGTCTATTACAGGAGTTGCATAAAATTGCTCAAAACCAAATTTACTTTTCCTTACCAGTTTCCCCAGTATAAATTCTGATCTGTTTGAAGAGAAGTGAAATACTTTTCCTGCATGCCAGCACATGAGGTTAGGAAATAAAAAGACATTTGTCTTTATTGCTTCCTGATGGAATGTTTTCCTGTATTTATAGGAGGAAAACAGGAATCTGTGATCTTCGTCCTTGAGGTGCTTTGGAAGGCCGAGGTAGCAGTGGGCTGTGTCAACAGCTCAGCGCTAAGAAAAAAAGGCCGGGAGACAGTGTGTGAACTATAAGCAAATGTCTTAGTAGTATTTGTTTCAGCAGAAATAATTCAGTTCAGGAGGTATACTGTCAACCTCATTTGCACCCTGAATTCTTGCCTTTTCCAGATGTCAAACATGCAGCAATGAAAAGCATCTAAGATTTACTTTCCCTCCTCCTCCCTGCATCTGCCTACATTTGTTGCTCAAAGGTGTTTAAGAAGTTAAAGGAAGGGTTATATGTCTTAAGCCAAAAGCAGCAAGAAGTGTAAGAAATTTCCTGGCAGGAATTTTTAAGCTGTCAAAACAGGTAAAAGTAACTTCTCTTACGGAGATGACTGCTGATCATCCTTAATTATTTATTGAAAACAGCTTTGTGGAATACCAGGTGGCTACTTGTGCGAGAGCCACTCTTTCAGCCGGAGAAGAGCTTGCTTTTGGTAATGAGACTTAAGATGAAAGGTACTGATTTTGGTGTCGTCGTTTGGTTGGTTGGGTTTTTTTTGTTTTGTTATGGCAATAAGTGGTTGGCAGTTACACTTGTCTCCCTTTACTGTCCAGCAACGAGACATAGGTAGGTCTACTGGTATTTTGTGAAAAGTTTTTGATCAGTTGTGTAATGTCTCTTCATGAATAGAGTGTTTGAGCTGCTGAAGATAGAGTACTTCAGTAGGTGTAGAACAAGAGCCCACACTGTTCCACTGTGTTTATGCAATAGTTGTGCAGAACTGTAAGGACTTTAGAAGAATATAACCAACTTGCTACTGTGTGATTGCAGTAAGAGTAAGAAATTAGTCTTCTCTCATTGCCCTATGACAAAAGAAGATTTAAACCTTCAATAGTATAATAACCGCTTTAATTATGTTTTGTCTGAGGCAACTCGGAAAACAGAGTTCAGAGATGATTTAAAAGAGGCATAAACCATTCCTAGAAATGTCTTTTTGTAAGTTTATCTACTTACCCCTATATAAGCATATGCAATGACTTGTGTACTTTGTTTAAATGCATATGCAACTTACTTTGGAACTAGAGCCAGCAGTTCAAACACAGCTCAGCAATACCGGTCCCACAGGGTGTAATTCCAGCCTGTGGTGGAAAACCAAAAGACTGCTCCTACTCTTT